ATTAAGAAATACATATGTTACTCTTTTTATTTACATAAATAGTTATTTAGGTTTTGTAAGCATTTGATTTGGAGGCGTTAAAAATTTTTTAAAACATTTGTTCTTATTAAATTTTTCAACTAATTTTCATTATTATTATTATTATTTTTTTACCTTTGAAAATGTTGCAAATTGATGCATAATTACTAGTACTTGTAGTGGATTTTTGAAAATTAAGAATTCAATGCACTTGAAAAAATGTTTAGTTTACGAAACCAAATGCAACATATTTTTTATTATAGCACTAAAAAAAATTCTCGCTGTTTGTATAACTAATTAAGTCATGTGTTTGTAAAAATATTTACTAATAACCTAAAAATATGCAAAGAGAAATTAGTCTAGTTCTATAGTAGCTCAATTAGCGTGAGCTGCAGCAAAGTCATACAAATACTTAAGTATACTTTTAGGATATTATCGTGATCATATTTTAAGTCGCTAATTTAGTTCTATTTCAAAAATGCTGGTGTACGAAAAAAACTCTTTCTGTTTCAAATTATTTTAATGTGAAGGTCCGATAAATGCTAGCAAACTACTGAGGAAAATGTGAAATAAATAAATTTTATTAAAGGAAGTTGAATATTGTGTAAAAAGAAGTTAATAATAAAAGCACGAATGATGTTTTTTTTTTCAAAGAAATCTTTATTAAATTTGATAGATATTTTTTGCAACCCACTAAAGCATTTCACAAAGATTTAATTGTTAAGATATCTACGAGCTATATAAGAGCTATTATGGACCGTAATCTGCCGAGGAGATGGAATGTGGGGAGGGAGTTACGAGAGCTTACAATTCTTTCTAGACGTGCGGGAGAATTCTCGGGATAACATGGGGATTTTCGCTTCGGCTACTACATTTAAATTTCATATTTAGCTACTATAAGAGTCATCATGCTCTATGGCACCCTAGTCCGGTGGACGTGTGCAAGGCCGGTAAAATCGAAGTGGGTTTACCAAAGCATCCTCCCTTCCTACAGTGACCAAAGGCACCTCGCGAGTTGATTAGCGCATCTCGTACGTGGGTTGCTAGAATAAGAGTCGAGTATGGAAATGTAACTGTAATTTCATACCAGGAAATCCCACCTTTGCACCTTCGAAGGAATGTGAGACATTCTCCTTAACTAGGTAGCAAAACATTAACCCCCTCTGGCATTTACATTTGAGCCATCAAAAACTCAATATGGACTTACTGAGCGTTGACGTCGCGAGCAAGAAGACTGTTATCAGTCCGTTGAAAAGATTGGCATTCTTTCGGCCACCCAGCGCTTAAATATATACCAAACCCGGTATACATAATATTGTAGCAGAAAAGTCTGCGCTAAGATTAAAAATGTATGGGCACTGCGGGCTTGTGGGCAACAGTAATACAAAGAAAGTGAACATTAATTCAGCCAATGGCATTCCTTTAGACAACTAAATACCATAAGGTCCCAAAAGCATCAATAGAACACGAGGGTAGAATAGGGGACTACAGCTCAGGAACCGCACCTACAATTTTATCACCAATGGTCGAAGACTTCCAAGCCCTCTATGGCAATAGGAGCAGCAAAACCAGCGGCTGCTTTAACTCCACCGTGCGCCTGAGTGAGAGTTTTCCTTAATTGTCAATCCGAATAAAAGCAGTGCCGATTGTGACGACAAGTGCTTTCTCTATACAGGTATAGAGCAAGATTATACGACTTTCTTCGCTCACAGACTTATAACTATTTTCAGTGTACCAAAAAAATAGTAGGACGCAAATTCTACTCGTATGAGAAAATGTAACATTGTGTGAAACTGTCAAACTAAGCTCTGCTCATACACCGCAAAAAATATCAAGTGTCTTCTTATTAGTGAGAGCCCTTCTCTTACTACCACACAATCGACAAAATAAGACTGTAGGAAAATGATAAGCGCAGGGCGATCTTTAATATTTTACGGCATACAATTTCAAAAAATATGTACAAGTCACACTAAAGAACTTATTTAATCAATCTCTAGGCAATGACTTTTCATTAAAAAAAAAAATCCATTTATACAATATATTTACTTACATAAGAATTTATATTTTTGTCCATTAGTAGTACCTACTGCATGTTCACATTCTAAGTATACATATTCACAAATATACATAAGTATGTGTCACGAAATAAAAATAAATATTACTTGTAGCGCCTCTACGCCCACTTCTCCATCAACCAAGTACCTACAGTACTTCATCACTTTGCTCTGATAAACACTTCCAGCCGGAACACACTGTATTGCCGCTCATCCTGCATAGCCGACAAATATGCGCTTTAACATTTTCCTTGAATGTCGAAAGTCCATTCGTTGTTGCGAACTGTCGCCTAATTGCCATTTCTTAATGCTTCTGCACTGCACGCTGCGCACTTATTTTTCCTCCTTCGCGTATCCGAAAAGTTTCTTCAGCAAATTATAAATAATCATTTTGTGTGTAACCTCAGCCTCGTATTTCATATACTCGGACATGCGATTCTCCTTGTAGAGTGAATCGAGAAGATCGAAAAGTCGCAACTCCAGGGCGTTCAGCTCTGTCTCCAATTCGGGTGTGTGTGTGCCGGAGAAGAGTGCCTGCATGTAAACGTTGGCCAGCTTGGTCAGTGCCTCGTCCAGTTCGTGCAGTATCGGCTCGTCGGTAGAGTGAGGAAAATCAGTGACAGGATCTTTACGCTGTGATGAAACGTGATATGTGTGCAATGTGGGGGCGTGGTCCGCAGCTAATTCGTGATCGCTGAGCGGTAAAGCGCACACAGCGCGCAGTGAGATCAGCAGCGCTATCGGTAACAATTGAAACATTTAGATTTTCTGCAAAAGGCGTTTCCGTTAGTGTGCCAAAAGTGTGAGATTTGGTGATTTCAGAAATGCACAAAAATATTTACTACTTGTGCTAATATTAAATCGCAGATAAACGCCTGACTTCGTACACTGCGTTTGCTTTGCTTTGAATTCACTATAAGCGCGTTGGCGGCACACAATTTTCTTTGCTCGCTTAAGTTGCTTTGTCGCAGCTTCCTGGCGCGCAATGGCTTTTTATAGCAACGCTGATCAAAAGTTGAGCTAATTTTATACGCATGAATAAAACATTTTATTGATAACAGAAGCACAAATATTTATAAATACATACATATCTATATATATGCATATACATATATATGTATCTAAATATGTATTGTATAACTCAATTGTATGCAAGGGACTAAAGCGAGTTATGCTCAACTCTTATCGCAATGCGTGCTATTACCACACACGCAACCGCACGCTCCCGCTCACACTCAAAAACGTAATCGTTTGCACAAAATGGGAATCAAATTATGAATGAAGGCCATTTCCGCACAACACTGTGCGAAATTTAATTGAAAACGACAGTCACAGTGATAGTTTACACTCAGAAAAAAAACTGATGTCCAAATATTAATTCCTAAGTATTAGAAATATTCACTATAGTGATCTCTGACTAGGCGTGATACTAAATAGCAAGACGAAAGGCGTTTCTCAAAAGCGGCCGACCTCGGCTCAACTGTCAGAGCTACGGCACCATATGTAATTTTTGATCGTCTATGGTAAAAATCTTGTCAGAGCATACAAAAGCTGATACAGTATTTTATTTCAATTTGTTGGAAAAGGTGTGGGTAAGACTTCGTATAATTAGCATGGACTCAGAAAATTTTTTGGTGTTTTTTAAGAATTTGAGTCAATATGCCTTTGAATGGACTCCATTAGAAGACTCCCTTTCTCTTACTTAATATTTGGAGATTTCACAAACTGCACACTGAGAAAATGTCCTGCCTACTACCAAAAGCTAAAGCTGTGTCACTAAACAGAGTTGGATTTTTTAAATGAGCTTTGCGTTAACTTTATACTAATTTTATTTTTTTAGGCAGAGGGAGTAAATGGGCAATTTGGGGCCAACACCAAGCCAACCTGCCGCAATAGAAACATTGTGAACTTGACTGACGGCCGACCGGCTTTTAGGGCTCTCAGATCTCATAAGGCAACATCGAAATTGGTAATGGAGTGCCTTAATAAGCTGAACATTCTTGTGTTGTGGCTCTCTGGATTCCGTGGCACATCGGTATTGAAGGAAATGATAAACAGAGCCCTTTTTTATGTTACCAAGGGGGCACACACTGCGACAGGTCTGCTAGATCTAGAGCAATCCAAAGCTCTTAAAGAAACATATAATATAAAGCGTGTTTAGGGAATGTATCAGCAGGCTAAAATATCGCCTCACTAAAGTGGGAACTTTCGTGCAGAAGCGATGCAGCTTTCGCTGGACGGACATCAAAATTGCACAGCACATTTTGGAACGGTGGCTTCCAGAGATGCACAAACGCAAAATACACTTAAAAAATTATCAATTAACCGAGGGCGCCGTGAAATCCAGATGTTTAGGCTCAGTACTGCTACTTTCGGGCAAATTAGCGGCCGCACGATTTTCTCCCGGCGACGTCGGGCATTGCAAACGAAGAGACCTTCATATTAAGATTTCGTAGCATTGATTAAAGAAATCGATTTTAGCACCCTTTTCTCCCGTGAACCGGTGTTTTCATGCATTACCAAAAACCGGAAAAATATTTTCACGATTTTATAGAACAAAAACTAATCCAGCTGAAGATCGGTTTGAGTTGCTCATCCCTAGTTTAGGTGCTTTGAATTGATGACAAGGATATGCCTGTTCCAAATACTCTTTCGTTCAAGTGCAACATAACGGATTATTTTATAAAAATCTTTATTATGCCTCTTTTTCTTCCTCCAACGACAGTCTTCTTTGTTTCAGCGTGTATTTCTGTATGTTTGTATGCGAGTGTGAACAAATTGTCTTCCGCTTTTAATTAACAAGCGAGTAAACGAACGTGTGGCAGTCGCTCGATTTGCGTGCAGCCACAGTCACGGCAGCGCAATTTCCGGTGCGCTGGGGAAAGCAATATATGTATGTATGTATGTATATACATATTTACATCACTCACAAGCTGACGACGTCGCTCCAAAGCGGAACAAACATCCTCCTTTTCCGTTTATCGCTGAGCGTACATATATGCGATCATATGTTTATCTTGAGATCGCGTTCTACTCCCTGCTCGGATTCTGGAATCTTGATTCACACGTTTATCTTCGCTGTGAACTAAACTTTTGTTATTAGTATGCTGAAAATGAAAAAAATCTCATAAATGCAAAAAAAATACATCAAAATTCATTTCCTTTCACTTCGCTTATCCTTTTCGCGCATCCTTTAACTTGTATTTCGATTCGGAGACTTGCTCAATTCTTAATGCATTGCAGGTGTGTGTGTGTATGTGTTTACGCTTGTGTGTGAGCGCGGGCGTGGATCCTCATTTCACTTGTTCATTTTCATTTATACGGAAATATTTCCCACACATATGAACAAACATACATACATATGTATGTAGGCATGTACTTGAAAGTGTTGACGTAGTACTTGGGACTTCATTCCCATTGACCTTTTCGTGATGTTTTTTTACTTTCATTGCTTTACGCTTGTTTGCTTGTTTTTTTTTTGTGCGCATATCTCCTTTCAGTGAATTTTTTCAGTTTTTTTTTTTTGCTATGATTCGTAGGTCTGCACACTAAGGTGATCCCTCGGCCTGCCAGTTCGCGCTTGGGTAGGATAGACCTATATTTAGATTAGTTATTTAAATTAGTTAAACTTTTTAATGAATTAACTTTCTAGATTATTCCCAATACCTAACAGAGAAGCCTTCTGAGTCGCACGCCAGACCCCTCGCTCGCTGTGGAAGACTCTGTGCCAGGTTGCTGCCACTGTATTGCTCCGTGAATTATGGCCGCATGTTCTAAGACCGCAATCAAAAAATTAAATAAGACCGCGCGGGCATAATTCATTTGGACAAGCGAAATTAGGCCTCGATAAAAAAAATGGAATTTGGCCGTCGAAGAAATGAGAAGGCTGCCTTAATTCAAGCGTTTTAATTTTAAAAGTATTGAAATTTATTCCAGAAAAAATTATCCCAATTATATGAATTTAAGTCGGAATAAGACGAGTCTATCTGAGCGTTCTGAAGTACATAAATAATTTCACTAAGGAAAAGCTCTATCAATCAACCGGTGGAGCTTCCCATTGATAAGAAAAATCTAATAAATATATAATTCATATTAAAATGGGTCACCCTAATATACCAACGGCAATAGCGAGTATTATATTACAGTATTGTGTATTGTTGTACACTTGTTCTGCGATAGCACAGTGAACCTACTACATATGAACCAATCTCTTTTGTGAGCTCTCTTCTTCCCCTATCCTGCCACTTGGATCATTACTTTGGGCACTCCTTAATATTTTTTATAATCAATATGGGATCCCAGTGCATATACATATACATACATATGTATGTGTGTATGTAGTTATGTACAGCGTTTGTTCTTGTTGTTGTTTTTACTTAGTTATATAGAATGTAGGAGAGTTTTTTATACTCATGAATTTCACACGGTTAACTACATTGTTTCTTAATTGGCTCTCACCTCTCTAAAACTAAGCCTTCTTCAAGACTTAGTGTATTCCTTTAAATATACGCAGTTTGATTGTGGGAATGTATGCGCATTTTTTCATAAGGAATTCGCATTTTTAAAAACGAGTTTTTTTTCGCTTTTACATTGCGTAAGGAAATGTTGTTTTTTTGTAGTGCAGGTTTTTGAAAAATTTACTCGCATGATTAAATTTTTAGCTCTAAACATTGGTAACTAAAATGTTGCACTGTTTGCACAGATTTAAATTTATGGCATTGATGGATTGGCAGCACAAACTTTAGAAGCTAGCAAGGTCGAACAGGTGTTTTCGCATCAAGCCCTATCGATGAAGAACCATGCGGAACTCAAACTCAAGCCAGACATGCTGCTGAAAATGCCTCTCGCCGCTAGAGTGTCTGTCCGCCTAGCTGCGTTGCTCCTGTGCCTCACCCACATCCGAGCCGAGTGCTGGCAGCATGCCAGTAATAATGAAATCAGATGGCATCAATCGCATTTGAATGAAAGTTGAATGAAACGGATGAAGTGAAAATGCACTACTTGAATGGCATTTTATAAGCCCATCATTAATCCAAACCTATCCGCTAAAGAGATTGGCTAATCAGCGCAAGTGTCTTTGGTTTTATTTTAGCATTCAAACGAAATTGAACAACGGACGGACCCCAGAGCGCTAACGCCGGTGGCAGCAAGCAGTTCAAATGCTACAAAGGCTATCGAGTGTATAATAGAAATGCAAATGCTAGTGTCTACGTGGATGTCAGTGTGAATGCGGTATTATACCTTAGCTGCCAGGATCCGTGGACGTTGACGCTTTCCGAGAGCAGCGCAAAGTTGCCGAATTGCAAGCAGTGCGTGAACAATGCGATGGGTCTCGCCGTGCCGAACGTGAAGGACATCATATCGGCGGGCATGTGCTATGATCAGGACACAATGTCACTGAAATACGTCAACTATTTGGCGTATAGACCCAAGTATGATGAAGTTGTAAAGTTAATTTAACTCCACCTTGGCTTTAATTTTTCCGTTGATTTGCTTCAATTTGTGCATTTTCAGCTGAACACTTCGACTTTGAGTAAACATCAATTTCGTATAAGAACCTGAAGTTTCATCCATTTTCCGATTCCGTTTTTAATCGATTTCCGGATGCATTCTCCCACTGAAATGTGCACCCGAAGTGTGTATACAGAAAAGTATCAAAAATTGTTGTGAAACGGATACGCTTTCGGCTGTTTTTCTGATAAAATTTTTCGTTGAAAACGACTTCATTCTGAACTTCACAGAAGCTCTTTCCTAGTTACAGAAATCCAAACAAAAAACAAATTTTAGATTCAGCAATTTATTTAAATCAATGTTACCTTAACGATTAATTTCCTTAAACGAGTTTGCGAAAGCAAGCGCTGGGCATAAAAGTAAAATACTGACAAATGTCTCATAAAATTCAGTACTGAGGCATTAATTCGTTTTCGTATACATATATATATGTATGCATGTGTTCTTATACAATCAAAATTAAGGATTGAGTTTCAAATCTTATCAACAAATATGTATGATTTTAAATGGATTTATTTATACAGTAAATTCCACTTAAAACTCACCATCATGTGCATATATGTATTTATGTTTATTTTGCAAATTTGTTTATAAGTGGAATTGAGCTAGTGTGCGCAATTATAAATACTTGTATTGAAAAGGGCCTTAAGTGATATTTTTTTGAAAAGTACTTTTTTATTATTATTCCATTAAATTACTATATTAAATAGACTCACCTAATAAGGTTTAAAATTAAGCATTCATTTGTATATTAAACGATATAAAATTTAGAGCCTTTTTAAAAAGATCATTCAAGCACTTTAAATATATGCATATTTCAAAAATTTGTTGCTTCTGTAAAAATCACAAATCTTACTCAGGTCCTTTTATAACGATGTTGACGTTGTAGGTGCACTTATACATACATATGTACATTAGGGTACATCACTCATAATAATAATAATATTTTGGCGCTTACACATTTGCTAAAGGTTTGGCCGAGCTTTTCCTCACTACATACAAAAAGAAATGGCACGGTTTATAAATCGGAATTATACAAATAATTATATTCTAAGACTTCCGGCAAAATATTTTGGAGTTTTTTTTTATAAATAATTAGTTTTTAAAAATCTTTTCGAAAACATCAACTCAGATGATAGGAAATTTTAAAATTAAAAAGTCTGTACAAAAGCGTTTTACAATTTTAAACGGAGTCAATTTTTAGAACTATTTTTAAAACGAAATATTTTGGCGGAAGTCTTAATATGCAATAAACTTTTTTACTCCGGTGGAAAAATCGCCACGTTTTTTGGTCAGACACTCTAATGTACATACGAGTAGGTATGTACATATTCTTTTCTCCTTATTGCTTGCATATATAAAAGGTTCTTAATTTTCCTCGACTAACATCAGTCCTAAAAACTTCGTGCGACAATCAAGTGACATCAAATAGCGATGTCACACTTTTTTACGACAGCAGTTTTTATTGCGCTTTTGTCAGGCTGCAGCTTCGCATATTCATGTAGACTCAATATTGGCGGACCCTCGCCCTTATTTACAAAGGATTTTGGATCTAAAACCATAGTCTTCAGAGCGCATGGAAGTGAATTGGTATTTGAAAACGGTGAAACTATTCAGGTATACTGTAACAATAGGCTAAGGATAGAGAGGTAGGAGTTTCTTTTGTGTAAGTTTTGTTTTTTATTGTTAATTAATTTCTTAAAAATGTTAGAAACTACTACGCAGATATTTTTCCAACTGATCGAAGAGCAGAGTTCACCTGTGAAAGCATGTCTATTATGTACGAGGGAAATGCTACACCATTTGTAAAAGTTTCCTGCTCA